AAGGAGAAGAAGCTGTATGCGAAGCCTTCCAAATGTGAGTTCTGGCTCAAGTCTGTGAAGTTTCTTGGGCATGTTATTTTTGCTGAAGGAGTTGCAGTGGATCCGAACAAGATTGAGGTCGTGCTGGATTGGGAGAGACCCAAGACAGTTATGGAAGTGAGGAGCTTTCTGGGTTTGGCAGATTACTATCGGAGGTTTATCAAGGGATTCTCCACCATGGTTTTGCCATTGACTCGCTTTACTCGGAAGGAGACTCCATTTGTGTGAACTCACGAGTGTGAGGTCTGTTTTCAGGAGTTGAAGGAGAGACTGACTACTACTCCTGTGTTGGTCCTTCCTGATCCTGCGCTTGAGATTGAGCTTTACACCGACGCCTCCGGGAAGGGGCTAGGTTGTGTGTTGATGCAGTTGGGCAAAGTGATCGCCTATGCTTCGAGGCAGTTGAAACCTCATGAGGAGAACTACCCTACTCATGACTTGGAGTTGGCTGCTATTGTGTTTGCTTTCAAGATTTGGAGGCATTATCTTTTTGGTTTGAGGTTTGTGGTGTTCAGTGACCACAAGAGTTTGAAGTACCTGTTCGACTAGAAGGAGTTGAACATGAGGCAGAGGAGATGGATGGAGTTCTTAAAGGACTACAACTTCGAGCTAACGTATCATCCTGGCAAGGCCAATGTGGTAGCTGATGCTTTGAGTCGAAAATCCAGTAGTTCATCCGGTTTGTTACTTGGTAACTTCGATGTGGTTGAGAAGTTTCGAAACTTGGCAGTGACCGCTCCGTGTGAGAGTGTACTTCTCGAGTTGGAAGCAACAGATGTTGTGAACGAGCTGCTTGAAAAGATCAAAGAGGCACAAGTTCAGAGAGAGTGTCTGGATTATGTGAAGAACCAAGTCGGTGTGTCTAGGAATGATGATGGATTGCTTTTGTTTCAGCAGAGGATTGTAGTTCCTCGAGGTCCGTTGACAGAAAAGGTTATGGCAGAAGGCCATAAGGGTCAGTTTTCTATCCACCCTAGTGTTACTAAGATGTATCAAGATTTGAAGAAGAACTTCTGGTGGCCGGGCATGAAGAAAGATGTTGTTATCTTTGTGTCCAAGTGTTTGGTCTGCCAGAAGGTGAAGATTGAACATCAGAGACCGTCTGGTGAACTTAAACCTCTTGAAGTACCACAGTGGAAGTGGGAAGGTATATCCATGGACTTCGTGGTGGGATTGCCGAAGACTCAGGCGGGTTGTGACTCTATTTGGGTCATTGTGGACAGACTGACGAAGTCTGCCCATTTTCTTCCAGTGAAGGTGAGCTTCACTACAGAGAAGTTGGCCAAGCTTTATGTCCGCGAGATTGTGAGGCTTCACGGGGTGCCCGAGAGTATCATTAGTGATAGGGACCCGAAGTTCACTTCTTGGTTCTAGGAGGCGCTGCAGGAGGCTTTTGGTACGCAGTTGAGATTGAGTACCGCCTATCACCCTCAGACTGATGGACAGACTGAGAGGACCATCCAGACCTTGGAGGACATGTTGCGAGCTTGCACGTTGGAGCAGGGCTGGACATGGGATAGGAACCTTTCCTTGGTTGAGTTTTCTTACAACAACAGCTTTCATGCTAGCCTGGGCATGGCGCCCTACGAAGCACTGTATGGTAGGAGGTGTCGGACTCCTTCTTGTTGGTCTGAGGTTGGGGACAAGGAGGTTTTTGGCTTGGACTTTGTCCAAGATACCACCTTGCAGATCCAGATGATCCGTGAAAAGTTGAAGCAAGCGCAGAATCGCCAGAAGAGCTACTATGATGTCAAGCACCGTCCGCTGGAGTTCAGTGAGGGTGAGCACGTGTTTGTGAGACTTTCACCTGTCACCGGTGTAGGTCGGGCACTCGGAGTGAGGAAGCTGAGCCCGCGATATATTGGGCCATACCAGATCCTTGGTAGAGTAGGACATGTTGCCTATTGGCTTGCCTTGCCTCCGAACCTGGCTAACATCCACCACGTGTTTCACGTGTCTCAGCTTCGGAAGTACATAGCAGATCCGTCGCACGTGGTGCAACCGGATGTTGTGGAGGTTCGGGAGAACCTAAAGACTCCCGTCGGACCACTCAGAATTCTCGATCGTGGCGAGAAGCAGCTGAGGAGCAAGATCATTCCAATGGTCAAGGTGCAGTGGACCGGAAGAACTCCTGAGGAGTGTACTTGGGAGCGTGAGGACGAGCTTCTCCGGCAGTACCCCGTGTTTCGACCAGGTATGTTTCTGATTTTGAGGTCAAAATCCTAAAAGGTGGGGTGAATGTAAGAACCTGCACCGTTAATTAAGGTATTTAATTAATTAATTATGCAAAATTAGGAAACGGATTCCATAATTGACCCTAATAATTATTAAGAGGATTTAATAATTATGGTAAATGATTAAGAATGCTGAAAGTCGCTTTTCGGAAGAAAAGTGCAGATACCGATTCTGCTAGACGGTATAAAGGCGTACCGAAAAAGTATGCCGGAAAATTAAAGTAAGTGTATGATAATTACGAGAATAATATTTAGGACTTGTAAAACGAGTCTCAAGTCCAAATAATGAGAACTGGTGCTAGAAAACGGTACTGGCTCTGAAAAGCGCGTACCGGAAAGGTGCTCAGAAAAATATAATAAAAATATGATAAATCTTAGAAAATTATGTACTTTCATAATTCAAAGTTTGGGATTAAACTGCTAAGCATAGCAATTAAAGTTAATACTGTGTGTTTATGTGTTAAATCACTATAAATAGGCACACTTGGCCCTAAACCCTAGGCACTCAGATTTGTCTACGTGACTTGGTGGCTGACTTGCACCTTAAACACTGTTCCATTGCTTTCCCTTCCATTTCTTGAGCAAGCATTCACTTTTGAGGCTTGTTCTTCCATTTAAACACTTGGTGATGGTGAGGGTTGGCCTTGGGACTGCATTGTGGTGTTGTTTCTGAGTTAGAGAACCTGTGTGATGGAGTTTGAAGAGCTGTGTTTTCTGTTCCTGAGGGGTGTGACCTTTTGTTGGAATTTTGATGCTCCAAGGTGCCTTCTTGTTGAGTAAAAGAGTCATCTTGTGATACATTTTCGTGCATCATCCTTGAGTCAGACTTGAGGGGCTGTGTTGAGCTCCAAGAGCATCTCCATCCTCTGTTTTTGAGCTGTGGTATGATCACCAACCTTTAACTTGAGTTTTAAGGCTTAAAAATGGAAGCTTGATGCATGTTAAGGTTAAAAGATGATAACTTATTGTTGGGTAAGGCTTAACACACCTAGAAATGCATGATTAGGTGTATAAAATCGGTAAAAAGGGAACCTTTAAGGGATATCTTCACGAAAATGCAGAAACTGCATTCTGTCGTGAAATATCCGGATATCTGCCCGTGAAATATCCGGATATTGGATATCCGGATATGTGATATCCGGATATGGGGTTTTGGGATATCTGGATATTGGATATCCGGATATGTGAATCTGTATATCCGGATATTGCATATCCGGATATGGACTGTGAGATATCCGGATATTGCATATCCGGATATGGTCCCGAGGAATATCCGGATATTCTGGGATTTCGCAGAACAGTAGCTGTGTTGTGTGTACAGTAGGCTAATTGGGGTTTGTGGACCCTATATTGATGAAGTTGAACTTCTGTATTTAATGGTCTAAGCCAGAATCGTGTGATTTTTGGGCTTGTGGCTTTGTTAGAAGCTTTAAGGCATAAAACGTAATGAAAAGGCGTTGTCTTTAATTTGTATGCATGTGGTACATGTTTATTGATTTATATTTGCTCCATATCAGATTGTGATCTGCTGTGATTGGACTTTGAGCTTGTGGCATTGGATAACTAGCTTAGAGGTAAGCTTTCGTGTCCTCGGTTTAGCCATGTTGTGGTTCCACCATGTCCCATGGGGATATGGTATATGCATGCTGTGTTACATGCTTTTGATGTTTTGGAAATGCTGTTGAGCTATTGTATGTTAGTGCCTTGTTGATATGCATGGAGGTGTTCCACCTATACGGTAAGCCTGGGTATGTAGAACATACAAGAGGGTGAGGCTGTGGGTGAGGTGCAAGCGGTGTTCCTTGTACTACATGTAGGGAATAGACGTATTCCTACATTTCTCTGGCCAGTAGATAGTGATAGACACACATGCCATAGATATCTGTTGCACTACATAGTTTTGGAACTGATAATGATATAAATGCTTTTTGAACTTATATTGCACATGTAAGTGAGCTTGGGGTGGAAGATCCTTGAGGACCCCTTGTCTTACTGAGATTTCTTGTTTAGAGATCTCACCCCACGTTTGGGGAATGCTTATTTCAGGGTCAGGTAATGTTGAGACCTGTAACATCCCGTCTAATTAGGAATCTATTTTAATTGCAATTAGGAATGTGGTGGAGTATTTGCATTCGGATTATATAAATGTTTGCTCTAGGACGAAGTTAAATTAAAATTAGGGAATTCTTGGTGTTACCATGGAAGGTGAGTACCTATTTTACACATGTGAAATTCTAGTTATGAGGATGAGAATAATTTAATTATAATACATAGAAAGCATGACACTACGTAGAATTTATATGAGTACTCATTAAAAATATGTGATTAATTTCATTACAAAAAATAAAAATAAAAAAAATAAACCCTTTGTAAATGATTAGTAGGATATGATATGTGAGGGGTGAACCTTTAGGGCACTAATTTGGAGCCCACTTCCCATTAAGGGCCACGGCCCAAGGGTCCTCTTGAAGGGCTTAGATCAGCCATGATCCATTAGGTTTTACCATTTATCATTTAATAAAGTTTGTGTAGTACTAAAACATTAGCCAAATGGACACACATGATAACATCCAACCACCTTATCCCTCCACCATTGGTGCGTTTAGGATTGAAAGAGGATTTTGATGAATGGGTGTGTGTGTTAAGTCCAAGTCAGCCTTGACACCACTTACCACCAATGAAGGGAGAGTGACCTACATGCATGCTTTATCATTGGTCCTTAAATCATCTCCCTCCCTACGTTTGTGCGCATAGGAGTAGTATTACAAATCTGAGTTAGATACACTTGGTCAGAATGTTGGGCAAACCTTGCTGTCTTCTCCTTCCTCATAGGCGCAAAGAGAAGAAGGCCAACCCGAAGACTGAATACTTTCCCGTTAGCTTTCTTCTTCCCTTAGACACTGAAGTGAGAGTCTCCAAACTGATTGCTCACTCCATGGATTAGAAGCAAACCAAATCTCTCTTATTCCTTGTGACCGTGAGCTCTTTTGAGAGTAACACAAAAGAAAACCTCCGAGACTTTACAACACTCTCATCCCTTGCAGAAGCCTTGAACTTCAAAGGAAAGGGCATTACTCTAGCAAGGAGTTGAGGTACTGCCTCTCCGTACATGCACCTCACCATTTCTCTCTGTCCCTCCATGGAACTTCCCCTCGCATGCAGCCGAAGCCAGAACTATAGGAGCGCTGAGAGAGGGCAGAAGCTGCTACATCTTTTGGTTGCTGCCCCGTGACCATTTTAGAACCTTTGGTCACATGTAATAAGGTAACGTAGAGTAAAATTAGTCCCCTGTTTCCTTACTGTTTCGGTCTCTAAAACCATTTATAGAGGAGTTATGTTTTTCATTTCCTTTCCTTGGTTTCTGTCTAGTTGGTTAACCCATGATCTCTTGTTGCATGCAAACAAAGAACCTATTTTGGAACATGGAAGAGAGCCCTTACTGTTTTGGGGACTGCTCTTTGACTTGAAAACATAGCAAGTCTGGCATGTGTTTCAACCATGAAGACAGCATGCTAAAACCTTAGTAGTGTACTCTTAACCCATCTAGGGAAGGCGATATAAATGAAAATTAAAAGATCCTAGTTGAAGCATACTGTATAAGTCAAAAATACATACATAGGAGCCCATGGGTAGATCACTTGATAACAGTGGGTTAGGCAAATTAATAGTGGTTTACATGTGTGGAATGTAAGTGTACAGAACCCCTTTAGCGCACCCTTAAGTTTAACAGAGTTGGGTATGTAAATAACTACCACGAGCATCCTTTTTAATTCTAAAATCCAATTTTGAATATGTCGAAACTATTCGCTGTTACTTATTGGAAATAAATTAATGTGAAACCCGAAATTGTTTAGAGTAATAAGCAGGTTAAAACCGAATTGGTATACAAGGAAAAACCTAGGATTTGTTATTGTTACAAGTTAGAATAATTAGCATGAAATCAGAAAATTATTCGTCATGAAAAACATGAAAACCGATGCTATACAAGAGTTAGGTGGCATAGAAATTGTTTGTAAATTATAGAAAAGATTATTTAGAAATTCTAAATTGGTCTAGTTGGTATATGCTGTTGTATCAAGTTTTGCTCGAATTAAATTAATAGGACAGTATGATAATATGTTATTAAATAATGGTAAGGCAGAAAATGGTGATGCACAAGAAGTATGGTAAATCGAATAAAATACAAGAATAAGAGGCATGCGAATTTCTTATAAATAATAGGAATGTATGAATAAAATTCTGACTTGTACCGCATGTATTTAGGTGCACGTAATTCTTATTGAGTGGGCTGAATTTTGGTGCTGTTGATTATTGCATGGACATAAGGTATGTGTAGGCGGTATTACCTAATGTGACTGATGAGCCAATGGTAAGAATATGAAAGGATGATATGATATATGCATGCATTTTACATCATAATACATTTTTCTGTTGGGTGCGATTGCATAACATGGCATGTATACTTGATTCATGACATCTTGAATATATATATATATATATATTTGTATTGAGGACATGTGACTGAGCATGCATCATATAGGCATGCCTGGTACCAAGAGAGAGGGGACACTTGGCTTCAGTCCGCATAGGTTCCACAGTGGGATTCACCTTCATGGGAGCCATTAGGAATACCCACTGTGATGCTACGCGCACGACGGTGCTATGAGCGTAAAGGAAAAAGGGCGTTATATACGCGTTATGATATATGATGAAAAGGATTAAATGTTTGAAGTGACTATTTATGGTTTTGTGCCAAGTTAATATTGTTTCATTATGGTTTTGTTGCCACACTACTGAGATTTTCTCTCACCCCTTTGGGGCTGCTATTTTTACAAAATGGCAGGAGGACGTAAAAGCTTTTGAGGACTTGGATATTTGCTGTTGGCTTCTACTGTTTTGGGCATGCTGCTATTGATGTGATATTTTATGGATGACTGTATGAAATTGAGAAGCTTTTATTACTGTGAACTATGATTTTATTATTGCATTACGATTTTATGACCAGCAAGTATTTTGGAAACAGATGTTGAAATTTGCGAAAAGGATTTTGACATGTTATCTAAATGCTGAGTTTTGAAAAGTCTTTGCGAGCACTTTGTAAGTTGTCGTACTGGGGCTATGGACCTCCGATTTTCTTATAATTTATATGCACGCGTAGCCCCAGGTGTCTAGTTTCATTATATATAAACCTTGCAAAGAAATTCTGAAAGATCGATTTATTATGAATTTTACCAGCCAGGACATTTGTGATATTTCCACTATTTTCTCTCTTATTTTGCGAGTTATGTTTCGAGGGGCAAACGAACTCCAAACCACTATTATTTTATATGAACGTGAAGCCTCAGATGTCTAGTTTCCAGATTACAAAGAATATATTTTTCAATTGTTGAACTGGATTTTATAAGAATTTTTAAAGACAGCAAGGTCTATCAGGAAATTTATATTTTTAGTAAGTTGAAGAAATTTTGCGTATTCTGATTTTAGTAATTAACCAGATCCCCTCTTTAGTTTTAATTGGCAATGTAAAAGCGATTTTTTTTCAGTCTCTAAAATACTATTAAAGAACTATAATTCCGCTTAGCAAACAACTCTCTTGGAGGCCTACAAGAGAGGGTGTTACAAGACCTCAGGCGGCAGGAGGCCGGAGCTGAGTTAGATTGCTGTTATATTATGCTGCCGTGATTGGATGCTGGATTTGCATGTTGTTTATATGCTTATAGCTTCAGTTATGTTCATGGAGTTTTATGTTGAGACTGGTTGCTTACTATGTTTATTTGGTGAGCATGGGGATTGTCCATGACACATAGTATTGTTATGTCTTGAGTCTTTTGGTGTTGTAATAATGTATTAGGATATTGTCCGGATTACGAGATGTAATACCGTGATGTAGATACACACTTTATTTATATATTGAGGTATTTCAGTAGATGTCTTATTGCAATTTACATACAGGCGATATTTTATGAAATTGATTAAGTAATCAAGTTGGCAATTGATAATGACGTCATAATTGAAAAGAAAAAGAACATTCCGCATTTTTAATTAAGCACCGCTTAATATGATGTAATGTTAATATTCCGGGTATACACGGGGTGTTACAGTCCGATCCGAACATATGGTCTCACGCGCCTCCATGCGCCGGTGAGACTGGCTGCGCGTGGGCTTCACTCGCGGATGAAAGGGAGGCGCGTGTGGGCGCGTGCGGTGGCCTTTCGGGCTGAGATTTCTGGGGCAATGTCGTCCGGCGAGCGCGGTTCTTTATGGGGCTGGTCAGAGTTGAAAAGCTGCCGGGAAAAAGTCCAAACACGATGAACAGATTCTGTTTTGTTGAAACGCGATGGACAGTAACAGAGGTCTAGTGTTTAACGTGACTGAAGGTGTTTAAATGGTAAATTGGAACAAGACGAGGGAAACCGAAGTCTTCTCGGTCCAAGAGGTCCTCGGAAAAAAAAAAATTGGTGGCGGCTGATGGCAGCGAGAGACGAAAAGAATAAAAGGTTTTGTTCTAAAGACAATAGGCGCGGAAGCAGAGCCCTCAAGATCGAGAGCTCTGATACCAACTAGAAAGAAAAAGGGTATTTGAAATATTATTGAATTGTGTAAATAATCTGTACAAAGAGGTCTCTATTTATAAAGAATAAAAACCCTAATACTTGACCTAATATTTGACCTAATATGCTTGGCCCAATACAACAAATAATAATAATTAAATAACCAATATTTACAACAAATTTCAGGTTCTAATGAGCTAATCTTTAATTACAACCCCCCTCCAGCGGCGCCGCCTCCCCCCACGCATGTTCATAGGTGAATAATTCATCTAGAATAATTCTATAAGAAATGATACGTGTCAAGTACCCGGTTTGTTACTCTAATAAACAAATACAGATAAAAAAGACAATTGATATTCACTAAAAATTACAATTCTCAACGGAATCGATGCTATCCAATAAGAGTTGTTTGAGTCTTAAATTATAACTAACAATAACTCAGGCTTAAAATGGCATAAACATAAACCAATTGATAGCAACAACAGTCCATTAGCACAAAGTGCCAAACATTTAAATCTAGCATTGAACAGAAAAAAATCCTGTCTCCGACGGTAATGATTTAAAGAAAAACTGGGAATGCATTGTACGATCATAAATTCTTATATCTTGGAATATAAAACTAAACATATAGAGCTTTAAAAAAAACATATTTGTTGTAATTGGATAAGAATTGGGAGTGTTATGCTTTTTACAAAACTGGCCTTAAAACTTGGATGCTGGACGAAATACTAATTTCTGGAAACTTTGATTTCACACAAAACTGGATGCAACCCGTAGCTCTAAAAATTCCAATATTTGAGATTTTTATTCCTATATCATGTTTACGATTTTAAAATATCTAAATAATATGAAATCAATGTTGGGATTATGTGTACCTTTTTGAACCATCACAAAGTCGGAAGAAAGAAGAGACTACATGATCTTCCTCTCCATGACCTATTTTGAAAATTGTAGCCTCAATGCGATGGGAGAATGATGACTCATAGGATTTAACCCTAATACGAATAAGCTAGAAAGGGGACCTAGCCAAATACCCAAGAAATAGTGTGTGTCTACTGGACCCACTCATTATAGAAACCATGGTCACACTAAAGACTAGACTGCTAAGCCCAATACCAATAGATGCTACAAGCCCAACTCAACATGATTATAGTGGGCTAATCAAAATAATAGGGAGTTGAAATACTTATTAACCCGATTAATTTTAAAATACAAAACTAATTAATTAATATTGCTCATATAAAAGAAAATTTTCAACATTCTCCCAATCGGACTATATTAATTAATTTAATATTACCAAATGGTGGTAGCTTAGTTGGCACATGAGAGCTGTAACAGCCCGTTGTACACCAGTATTGTTAACATTGATTATGATATTAAGCGCAATTACAATCACATCAATTCATTTATAAAATGCGAGTAAATTTTTTTCTTTTTATTACGCGAGCATTCAAAACAATAACAAAGCGTAATAATTAAAAGTTGTGACCGTAACTGTAAAATCTTTGCAGAATAATTATTTAAAATGTCTAAATATCATAAAACACTTCTCTCAAGTCACTAAGGGGTTCCCATAAACCCACTTAGCCTAAATCTCACTTTTACGTTTTCTACCTATCCGTACATAGTTCGGTATTTTAATTACTGCGGATAAACCGCAAGCCGTGAACCTCTCATCTTTTAGTATGTTATTATAGGCTTAATTACCTTTCTAACAAGCTATCACACGAGTCATAAAGTTGTCGTTTGCTCCGGATATCACCGTTTGAAGTTGGACAAGCAAATCTGCCATCCAACCTCAAATAGGGCTCCGAACAGCCCTCACGCTCTCAAAGATTATGGAAAATCCACTCAACCAATTGCTCTCAAATTTTTTATACAGCAAATTAGACACCTCAAGATTCAATTTGGAATATCATCACCTAATTTGACCAAGAAATGAAGCAGAAATAATTTTCCCAAAAACTGCCAGAAACAGCCCCAAGTGCAACGGCGTCTGGAGCAGTTCGTGCTTTCTGGCTTCTACAGGACAGAGTGGTTCTCCTTTGGTTCTCAAATTTTGACATCAGGTAGTTGACATCTCCAGATTTAAAACGGTGTATGGCACGTCTCTATTGGACCTTTGTGGAGGGAGATATGCTCTCCAAAATTCACTTAAATTCTGCCAATTTCTAGAAATTTTGTCAGAGTTTCCTTTGTTTTTCCAATAAATTCCACTTTTGTAAAAGTGCTTAACTATCCTCAAATGTACCTAATAGATATGGGTGGCACTCAAGGACCAGCAATGCCTTAGTGCTCTTACAACCTTTCACAATTTATATCATTTGGCTTACTTTACAATTCAATATTTTCATTATAAATTCTTAAACCATTTCAATCACATTAATTCCTTTGCATGAAATTCGTTGACATAAAACATAAATCAAATCTTAGAATAGGCCTATTTCTCTTTCATCGTATACAAGCATCATTATTACATAGAGTCTTCGAATTACAATTTACAACCTTCTTTACAACTATTACAACAATTCTCCAAATATACATAATAATCCACCAAAATAAATCATGATAAACATAAGCTAAACTTAGACAAAATAAGGCATGAACAACAATGATACAATGCATAAGCCAAACCCTACATACACTGTACATGTCCTAAGTCTAGCTAGGCCAAATGGCCACAAAATGTAAAATCCATCATAATCCACGAGCTCATCCTACGGGCCTCTTGCCCGTCGCTCCGACACCACTGGCACTACCTGAAATAAAGTCCCCAAAGCAGGGTGAGATATACGGATATATCTCAGTAACCCAGAGGTTCTGAAAAATACTCCGCACAATGGCTCACTTCGATATATATCAACAACATAACATAACATTTAAAACGGGAATAAGGCAAGGGGTTTAGTGAAGTAGGGAAGCATGGGGAACAAAATACGATGAAGCTGGAATGGTCGATGCCAATACCATGCAACATCTGGTCTAGTGGCCTCGGCACATAGCCTACGGTTTTCAAACCAAGCAGTGTTCCCAGAACATCAACCAAGGCACCCTCCATCCATATACACCTGAGACTTCCTAGCGTGCTCCTCTCCGGATAACACACCACGACCCCAAGTCAACTGGAACTCCCTCATGGAGACCTAATGTAACACCCCGTGTATACCTGGTTTGTTAACATATCATCGTATTAAGCTGCGCTTAATTAAAAATGCGGAATATCTTTTTTATTTTCAATTATGATGTCATTATACTTAGCCAAGTTGATTACTTAATCAATTTCATAAAATATCGCCTGTACGTAAATTGCAAAAAGACATCTAACTGGAATACCTCAATATATAGATAAAGTGAGTATCTAAGTCACGGTATTACAACACGTAATCCGGACAATATCCTGATACATTATTACAACTCCAAATAAAACAAGACATAATCAAGTCTAAGTGGAATGGACAATCCCCATGCTCACCAAATCAACAGCATAACCAACAAAGTCTCAACATATAAATCCATAAACTGAAGCTAAAAGCATAAGACAGTAAATAGGATCCAACATCCAATCATAACAGCATATCAGCATAAGCAGCATAAACATGCAACATCTATCAGCTAAGCTCTGGCCTCCTGCCACTAGAGGTCTCAACCCCCGCATTACCTGAACCTGAAATAAGCATTCTCCAAACGTGGGGTGAGATCTCTAAACCAGAAATCTCAGTAAGACAAGGGGTCCTCAAGGATCTTCCTCCCCAAGCTCACTTACATGTGCAATATAAGTTCCAAAAGCAGTAATTCAACATAAGTTCAAAAACTCAATGCAGTGCAACAGATATTCATGCCATGTGTGTCAATACTATTCTACTGGCCAGAGAAATGTAGGAATACGTCTATTACCCACACGTAGTACAAGGAACACCGCTTGCACCTCACCCACAGCCTCATCATCTTGTATGTACCACATACTCAGGCTTACCGTATAGGTGGAACACCGCATGCATATCATAAAGCATACAACACAACATGCATATAACACAACATGCATATCATAAAGGCACTAGCATATAACAACTCAATAGCAATTCCAAAACATCAAAAGCATACAACACAACATGCATATAACCATACCCCCATGGGACATGGTGGAACCACAACATGGCTAAACTGAGGACACGAAAGCTTACCTCTTAAGCTAACTATCCAATCCAAGAGTCCACCCTAGCTCAAGGTCACCAAATAGCACAATCACAGTCTGTTTATACCAAAATTATCATAAATACTCATGCTCTATAATTTCATGGCAAAAGGAATACGTTTTCTTTCTCATTTTCGCTTATTGCAGGCTTTTCTCAAAGACTTAAGCATTAAACTACATTTACT